CCTGCTATTTTGCAGGATTCTTTCACCAGCTCTAGTAGTTTTTGTGTGGAGTTTTTCAACTTTACTATATACAGTATCATGTTGCCTGCATATAATGGCAACTTTACCTCTTCTTTTCCAATTTAAATCCTTTATTTTTCTTTTTCTTACCTGATTGCTGTGGCTAGTACTTTCAAGACTATGTTGAATAGAAGTGGACAACCTTGTCTTGTCCCAGATTTTAGTGGAAGTTTTTCAGTTTTTCACCATGAGTACTATGCTAGCTGTAGGTTTGTCATAAATAGCTTTTATTATGTTGAGATTTGTTCCCTTTATACCAAGTTTGTAAGAGTTTTTATTATAAATGTGTGTTAAACTTTATCTAATGCTTTTTCTGCATCTATTGAGATGATCATGTGATTTTTGTCCTTTCTTTTGTTGATGTGGTATATCACATTGATTGATTTGCATGTTAAACCATTGGTGTGTCCCTGGTATGAATGCAACTTTATCATGGTATATGCTCTTTTTTATGTGTTGTTGGATTCTATTTGCTAATATGTTGTTGAGGATTTCTGCATCTACGTTCATCAATGATATTGGCCTGTAATTTTCTTTTTTGGTAGTGTCTTTTTCTGGTTTTGGTATCAGGGTGATTGTGGCTTCATAGAATGAGTTTAAGAGTATTCTCTCCTCCTCAGTCTTTTGAAAGAGCTTGAGAAGGATTCGTATGAGCTCTCCTTTGTATATTTGGTGGAATTCTGCAGTTGTAATTTATAATGCTCCCATTATCACCTTTTAATTTGAAGTGATATAGCCACCATCCAATGAAAATCCAAAATTATATTTCCAATAAAGTTCTGAGATTGGGAACAGAAAGCCATAGTTAATTAAATGATAAGTGTTTAGTTTATATGGATTTTTCATAAAAAATAATTCTGTTCTTTTTTAAATCTCTTTTGTATATGTTTTATTTCTTAACTTTGTCTGTTAAGGACTGTGTTTTATAGCATAATATAGTATTTAAGAGTTTATAATTGGGAGTATAGAGACCTGGGTTCAAATCTTCCTCCGCCATTTACTAACTTTGTGAACTTGAAAAAAGTTATTTAACACCTCAAAGCATATTTTTGTAATCCATACAATTTTTTAAATTTATTTATGCCACAAGTGTTTATTAAATACCTAATTTTTCTAGGTTTCTATAAAGACTACACAATAATGGAAGTAAAATGATTAAAAATACTTAATAAGCCCTTCATAAATATTTGCTATTATTGTTACTATTTCAAATATTCCTCCTTATTTTAAGGAAAGAAAGAATTAAACACAAGGCTATATTTTATTGTCAATATTCCTTCATTGTGTGCTATTTTGCTGCTGAAAATCAAATTATCAATGCATAAAATAATTTCAAAATTCTGGCATTTATATTGGTTAGAAAAAAGATTTTTATTAAAGCAATACCAAGGTTATATGTGGAAGCCATGCTGGAAAATTGTGCATGAGCTCTTCCAAGCCCTTTAAAACTTTGAAAGCAAATATTTGAATGAATCCTAAAAAGAAATGCATGGAATGATTTAATATCAAAAAAAATCTTCCTTTTTTTCTCTCAAAGTTTCTTTCCTGAAATTAAAATATAAGAGTCAGGCATAGCTTCCTATATTTACTAAATGGGAAGGGAAAGTTTACATAATTCAGTTCCCTAGTTTTTATGTGGAAAGCTTGTGTTCCCTGAGCTAGAACTCAAGGTTAGTTTTCCTTTTGTGTTCAAGCTGCTTTTCTCCACTGGTATTCTAAAAAGCAGCATGCTTTTCTTCACAAAGATGGGTCAGATTCCTTTTTCTAGATGAGCACTATTAGCATCCACTGAGTAATAAGAAAAATAAATGTATTTCTTTAGCAAGCAAGAGCAATTTGGCTGAAGAGCTAGGGAAAAGCTAGTGTTATTTTCTTTTCTAAATGATGTCTTGCATTTCAAAATTTGCAAATTAAAATGGGGGAGTCCTGTGACCCTTTACTGTCCACCAGTGCTTTAGTTCTTTGCTCTTTAGAAGCCCACAATGTAGTACTACACAGAGATTATCCTCATCAAAGGCACCTGTTGTATTTGTTTGCTAGGGCTCACCCTAACAAAGTACCATAAAAGTTTATTTCCTCTGTCCTGGACACTAGTGGACTAAGATCAAAGTGTCAGCAGAACTTGTCTCTTCTCACGTCTCTCTTTGGCTTGCAGGTGGCCGTCTTCTCCCTATGTCTTCACATTGTTCTTCTCTCTATGCCTGTCTGTGTCCAAATTTCCTCTTATAAGGACACAAGTGGTATTAAGTTACTATCCACCTCAGTGATGCCATTTAACCTTAATTGCCCCTTTAAAGCCCTTATTTCCAAATACAGTCACATTCTATGGTGTTGGGTCAGGACTACAACTTACGGATTTGGTAGGTGAAGTGAGACGCAATTCAGCCCTTAACCCTGATAACCTGGTTCCACAGTGTAAAAAGTGTGTCGCATATATACCATCCAATTGTTTGCAATTTTTTTTTAATTCCCAAAGATAGCCCTCCCAGATGAGAGCTAATTTTTTTTAACAATTAACATTTTATTTTTAAAAAATCTAACCACCCCATGGTAAAGGGTCACCAACTGTTATGACAAAGAAAGTATATGTCCTAGGATTACAAAGACAATAAGAATCAGAAGATCTTTATTTCTAAGGAACTAGTGCTAGACAGCTCTGTTTCAGAGCCCCTAGGAGGGAGGAAGAGATGACAGATGAAATTCTTCAGGGCTATGTTTTTAAAAATGCCGTCAGAAGAGAAGACAGGGACAGCAGAAAGACCAGCACTGACAGTTTTAAGGGAGAGACCATCCAAAACAAAATTCACCACTTCCCTTCAGAAGAGTCTGGACATTGAGCACAACTTTAAAAGGCAGGGACTAAGACAGCATTACATTAAATAACTCTTAAATGGTCAGACCACAGGCTGAATTTTTACAGGACTGAATCTATAAACACAGAATAATTTTCCCTCATGTAGTAATGTAAAAAGTCAATTAAATCTCACAAGATACTTTTCAGTGTTCTAAATTACAGGATTTTAAATAGATACCTTTTTCTATACAATACAGCATTATTTAAAATCTTATTTTTACAAGTGCTGATTCAGTCCTCCCTTAGGCTGCAGAAAAGTCCCCAAATGACTGTGGACAGTGCCTTACTGGGCCCCAAATATTTCCCCTGTTACCATTTCACAAAAAGCATGTTATGAGTGGTTTTGTACAGATGGTTTCAATGCTGTTTAAAATCACAGAAGACTGAGTTGGCCCTGCTTATATTGGAGGGAAAAACTTGAAAGAAAGGATGGTTCAACCCCCACCACTGTTAAGCTGTGGATAAGGGATGACAGTCAGGTGTTTAGGTCTTCTTGGTTTCCATACCAAACTCCAGTTTGTTACATAATCTCCTCAAGACTAATTTTTTCACAAATAAATGGTGGTTTCATAAAAATATCTGATAAATCTATTTTAACTATGCTGTTATTATTATTGGCATATTTGTAATGTCTTTATAATCTTCCTTCCTAACATTGCAGATAAGTTGTCCTTTCCCAGATCCTGGTATTAAAATAATAAACTTCTTTTAAACAAATCTCCATTGTTTCTGTCCATGCACTTAATCTTTCTATGCATAGTCTTCATTTGAAAATGGGAGTTTAATATTTTATCTGTATTATAAACTTATCTGGGATAATACTGATAAAGAATTTAATGCTTTGGCACAGACATAGCACTCAGACACTAACTCATATCTTTTTAAATTGGGATTGCTGTTTTTCCATATTTAATGCACTGTATTTATTTTCATGTCATAGGCATATAACAGAGAACTCAATATGGCAACCCAGATGGATTGGGGAAAATGTGGCTGGGAGAAGGAAGGAAGAAGTTAGGTGCTGACTCACTTTCACCCTGAATAGGGCTGAACAGATGCTGGGAAGACATTTAGAATCTATGTATACAAAGCAATTCAGTGGACTAGAGTCACAGTCACTGACAAAGGCTTAAAACTGAAAGTGCAGTATTTTGTCTCTAAAGGAAGACAAAGAGCAATGTTAGAGGTTCTGCTATCATCTGGGAAGTTTGTACCTAGAGTCTCAGACACTAGGAATTAACAAGCCATCTGGCCCTACACAGGAACCTTCAGAGCAAGTCAAGATTATAGGGGTAAATAAAAGTCTATTTCTGAAACTGGGTTGTATAGTATTGGAAAGACTAAGCATTTTAGGCGCTAGGTGATCAATTTGAATTGCCAGCCTTTGGCTGATTACAACAAGAATCCAGAGAATCAATTTAATATTAAACTTTCATGCTTGGTACTTTATAAAAATCTTGCCTCTGAAAGGATTTTTTGAAGAATAGAGTGGAACCAAGTTACTGAGGAGGAAGGAAATGAGTGCCTTAAAAGTCAGTTCCATAGCAAGGGAATTATATTCAGTAACTTGTAATAACCTACAATAAAAAAAGAATATGAAAAATAAAAATATGAATTGCTATGCTGTACACCAAACACTAACACAACATTGTAAATCAACTATATTTCAGTAAAAAAGTGAGTTGCTAGAAAAGGGTACTGGCATGTCCTAGCCACCGAAGCTTCCCTTCTGTCTGCTAATGCTCATAATCAATCCCCAAATTCCACATTCAAAGAGCGTTTCTTGTCTCCTAACAAGAGATTATCCCAGGAACATGCTCATCTTTATTCTAAAATCTGAGGCTGCTTAAGCACTGTATAGGATAGTGGAAAGTCTATTGGAAATTCAAGTTCTGCCTTTGGTTCTACTATTGACCAGCTATATAATTCCGGAAAAATTGTGGATATTTCTGAGGCCAAGTTTTCTGTATTTGCAAAATGAAAATGGATCTTGTTTTGTTTCCAGCTTTACTGAGATACAATTGACATAACACTGTATAAGTTTAAAGTACACAGTGTGATGAGTTGCTACATGTGTATATTGCAAAATGATCACAACAATAAGGTTAGTTAACATATCCATTTCCTCACATAATTACCTATTTTAGTGGCAGGAATATTTAAGATCTACTGTCTTAGCAACTTCCGAGTATACTACACATTATTATAAACTATAGCCATAATAATGTACATTAAATGAATAAATTTATTCATGTTATAACAGGAAGTTTATAACCTCTGGCCAATATCTCCCCATTTTCCCCACCCCCAGTCCATAGCAACCAACAATCTACTCTCTTTTTCTATGTGATTGGATTTTTTAGGTTCCATTCATAAGTGAGATCACAGAGTATTTGTTTTCCTCTGTCTGACTTCCTTCATTTAGTATAATGCCTTCAAGTTTCATCTATGTTGATGCAAATGGAATGATTTCCTTCTTTCTTTATGACTGAATAATATTCATATATGTGTATATATATATATATATCATATTTTCTTTATCCATTTACCTGTTGATGGACACTTAGGTTGTTTTCATATCTCAAGTAGTGTGAATAACACTGCAATGAACATAAAGGTGCAGATATCTCTTTGAAAGGTGTCTATACATATACACACACATACATATCTTATTTTTAGGTACAGATGAGCTCTGAAGATAAATAATGGGGATAAATAATGGGGATGGGGTGTGGTGGATAGGGTGATGAGTATGGTGGTCAGAAGAGGCTGCTCTGTCTAGAGAAAAGTAAGCAAGAGGAT